TGCTGCGGAGGAGAACAAACTTGATGATGTGGTACATACCCTGCTGCAAGCCAATGGCACTCCAGGGCTGGAAATGCTTGAAAGTAATGTAATGGTAGGTTAACACTGGGAGATGTATTCCCATCTGAGAACCCGAGGCTAATCAGAAGGCTGGTTGGTTGGGGATTTATTTTGGTTTTGTCTTACACTACAGTAGAGGCTGTTGTTAAAATCCTGGCTACTTTCTACTTGCAGTGTTTACCCACATGGCATTTTTATAACAAGGCTCACATGTTAAAACATTGAAATAAAAATAAATGTGACAGTGTAATACATGTCCATTTTTAATACTGTCCATAATGTATTTAACCTCACAAAAGGGAGTGTTTTGTAATCAATTAATCAGCCATGATTGACATTTTATGATGCCAGCATGGATATGAGAAGCCTAATACTTCAAAGGATTTTGAAGTATTTTTGGCTCCCTTGTTTATTTGTGGATAACAATTTCCATTTAGTACATTTAAGTACAAATTTGGGAGCTCACAACAAAACCAGCTCCCTCAGCTATCCGTGTTAACATCTCTAACAGAAGTGCAGTAGCAAAGTAGATTCAGTGCCAAGTCTGAAAAGATCTAGATGGAAAACCGAATGGCCTGCGTTACTTTCTGTAGTAGTAGATAGTATTGTTTTGAGGCTTTGTGTTTGAGGTTGTTTGGCAAGTGAAAGTTTAAACTGTTGGTTTTAAAAGAGCCACTTCTGTAATTCTCACTCCAAACACTAAGCTTCAGCATGTGCAGAAGGGAAGAGAGAGAACACGAACAGAGCTGAGCTGTGAGGAGAGCACAGCTTTTCTCCACAACAAGTAGCATGTGGCAGTATCCAGCAAGTAAGAGAATCTAACTGTAAAAGAAAGTTCTGATTTTTTTTCTTTTTTTTGTTGTTTTGCTTTTATGTCTTTCTAGATCTCCCCAGAAATCTTGTGTAAGGAGGGGATCAGAGTGCACCGTACTGTACAGCAGAGCGGGCAGTTTGTTGTCTGTTTTCCTGGATCCTTTGTGTCTAAAGTGTGTTGTGGCTATAGTGTTTCTGAAACAGTGCACTTTGCTACCACCCAGTGGACAAGTATGGGTTTTAAAACAGCCAAGGTAAGTTGAGAAAAGGCGTCAAAATGGATTCACAGCCCTGCCATCCATAACGACAGCAAACCAGACATTCCAGGATTGATAGTGTTGTGAGACCAGTACCACTGCGTCTATTTTTGTGGACTACTCAATAAAAAAAGGAAAAAGTTCTGCAAGGCATAAGACAGTCCAGTGTTTTTAGAAAAGCAACAGAGGTAATAATTGATAGCTAAAAACTTCTGTATATTTGAAAAATTCAGAAGATTATTATGCCTGCAGACCAGTTTGTGAGGAAGCTTTTCAAAAATCCCTTCAGAGCTAATGATAACATATTGTATTATGCTTACTAATTTTTTAAGTGATGTTTTCTAGAACCATTAGAATCTCAGGTGCAAATATCTGAATAACTGTGCTTGTTAGCTCCTATGATAGGCAGAGTCAATTAATACTCACAGCTGTATTGCTTGTCTTTCTCTGCCCCTTCATTCAGGAAAAGCTGTTGATCAGGGCAATTTCAATTTTAATCAACTTGAAAATCCTTAGGTTCACTGACCAGCCCATCCGATACTAAGTTGTAAATAAAACAAACTTCCCGTTCCCTTTTCACACAGCTGAGGCAAGTTGTCTGCAGAAACAAACAGGTGAATTGCCCAATCGTCATGATTTTGGCTACATTTCTCTGTTCCTGGACAAAGAGTGTACGTCACTAATTGCGTTCCCAACCTCCTCAAATATACCATGTGTTACAAATGCTATTTTGGTGGTGTTTTATAGCTAAGCCACTACTCAAGTTACCATTTTCAGCTTCAGACCAAGTGGTTAGTAAGTAATCAAATGTAATATGTTCACAGATAGGTTTTGGTTCTTTAGGGTTAATGGAATTCTTCCAGCCTGGTTATACTAACTGTATATTAACTTAGTTTGAAATAAAAGGTTATTTTATTACAGATTTATTTTGGGGGAAGGTGGGCGTTGTATATGTGTGTAGGTAAGGAATGAGAATCCTGAGCTAACCTTTTCTGTCTGAAGGTACACAGTTATATTATCTCCATATGCTGTATTTATTGCTCTACTGAACACTTGTTTGATATTGTGAAAATGCCACTCCTGTAAGAGACAGAAATCACTATGCAGCAATTAAAAAGCTCTTCTTGGTGCCTCAAATTCTGAAGAACAGTTTCTTTTAATTAATTTTTAAGAGCTTTGTGCTGGGTAAATATAAGCTGACTGAAAATCCAGCAGATTCCATTCTATGATAACCTACCTTGGGAAGTGAAGTGTCAGCTCTCACAAACTTTACAAGAACCACAGATAGATGTTTATATCAAAATAACTCTGGAAATACCTACTGCATTGTTCTTTTCCTTCTCCCTCTATTTTCCTCAAACTGTCCTATGTTCTTAACTCCCTTAAATTTTGGAAATTCTTCCTTGGTTCCTTCACTTTGCCAAGGCACTTTGCTATTTACAGAGGCTGGCTGGGATTGTGCTTTTCAGAGGTTGTGAGAAGTTCTGTGTAACGAGCAAGATCCCCTTTTTTGGACTGTTAATGAACTCTCTGACAAACAACTGTACCCTCCTGTCTGTCCGTTCTCAGCAGCAATATTGACAGTTATCAGCTGTTTGATACGTCAGCTTTGTTTTCATTCTGTGATACTGTGACCTGATTTTTTTATAGTGACTCTCTTTATATTACTAAACGATGTTGTTTCATTTCATGTACTGAATGACTGCTCAATCTCCTTTAATATATGGAAAAATGAAATTCTGCATCTGAAATTGCATTGATTTCAGTTTATAAGGAGTTGGGATAATTGTTGGAATAAAGGAGTTTGTATAAAGCCTGTATAAAGGGACAGACAGGTTTCACCTAAATCATATGTGGAACCAGGTTGCTGGCTTTTAAAAAACACCCGAAGAGCTCTTGAAATTTTAAACTAAGGATGAGGAGAAGGTTCACAGGTGTGGTGGAAGAGTTTGAGTTTGGAATGGCAAAGGGGTAACTCCATATCCTCAAATAAGGCATTGGGCAAAGTCAGTAAAACTCATTTAGGAAAACAGAATATTGGACTAAATGAATGCACTCTGGTCAAGAGGTTTGGAAATAAGAAGGAATGTCTGGTTTTAAAGGAGGGCTTTGGTGGCATAGGGCCCACCAGAAACGTGGTGGAAAGAAGAGACTCAGCTGGTACTGTAATACAAGGGGAAGAAGTACATAGGAAAGGTGGAGCTAGTCATCCAGTTGGAGCAGCACTGCTGCACACAGGAGAGAGCTTGCAGTCAAATAAGCCAGGTTTAACTCTGTCAGCAGTGACAGAATGCCTGTGCACTGATCTTCCCACCCTAAAGAGGAAAAGCCTGGTATTAGCATTGTGCTCCTGACTGTCCAGCCAAGATGCTAGCAGGGGCCACACAGTTGCCATTCCTTGGTTTCTGTCACAGAAGATGTCTTAGCCTGAGCAGACTGGGTTGCTTTCAGATGAAACCAAATGGGAAGAGGTGCTCCAGAAGTGCACCCCATGTCCTCCATACATCGGTGGCAGCGTGGCCACAGGACCAGGCTAGACTGCTCTGAAGTGAAGCCATCAGCTTTACACAGGCACGTCCTGTGGATGTTTGGGTCCTCAGCATCAGCTGTCTGGCTCTGCACATCCACTGCTCCCACTTCACCATACTGGATGGTGTGTAGACGTAGCCTGTGTCGTGCTAAAGCTGCAAGGGCAGGACATGCAGTGATAATGGGAAATGCTGGTCTCCTCCCCCGAGCTAGGACAGCGGTTGTGTTGGTATGTGGTGCCAGAACCAACATGGCTTCAGGGAGCAGGTAGCCAGGAAATCCACACGAGAAGAAACGTTGCCGCCGTGCTTCTCGGCAATGGTGGAGCCCAGTTCAAAACATCACTATCAAATAGCTGCGCTGTGATGGGAGGCAGAGATATTAAGAACCTTGAAAGAGCAGTAAAACACCATACATCCACTACTGTGGTGTTCCATTTCAAAAGACAGCCTCGCATAATGCCAAGGAAGCTTGTTAAATTGAGAATGCAGGCAGAAGGGTTACGTGTTTGCGTGCAGCATAGAAATTGTTTAAAGATGCCGTGTTAGAGGCTCACAACACATGCACATTCCCTAGCAAAAAACCCCAGAAATTCCAAAGGCAAATCCCACTAAACTTGGCATGGCTAAACACCAGGAGAAAGGAGTCTGTTTGAAATGAGACCAAAAAAATCCCTTTTGTGTCCAGAAGATGAAAATGCAAATAAAACAACCGCTCTAGCAAGATGCATGTAAATCCACACAAATGCAGACTAAAAAGAGAGTTCGAAGAGCAACTTGCTAAAGGCCGAAAGAAAAAATAAATGTAGAAAAGAATGTGACTGGGGCAATCGACATGGCTTCTGCAGCGAGGTCATGGACCCCAGGCCTTGAAACTTTTGGAAGGGTGGATGGCCAAAGGGATCCAGCTTGACAGAGTCTGTGAGCGTGTCTCAGAAAAGGCTTTTGAAGACGTTAACCTGCTGTGGGTGAAGGGGGAAAGTTCACACACCAAAAAAAAACCTGATTTAAACAGAAGCAAAGGATGGGAACAAATGGTCAGTTTTTATTGTGGAGGGAGGTCTTTTTCTGCGTTCCTCAGGAATTTGTACTAAGACCAGTACAGTTCAACATATCCCTAAATAACCTAGAAAGGGAAGTGAGTAACAAAACTAATCCTTTATGCTGCGGCTATTAATGGTAATGACAGCAAAAATTAAAGCTATGAGGTGTTACAGAAAGAATTCATGATACTGAGTGAGAAAATGGGTTGATAAATATTTAGAGACTCAGGAGTAAAAAATAATCCTAATTGGACAGACACAGTGATGGGCTCTGAATGAGCTCTTGCTACTGAGAAGAGAGGTCTTTGGATTCCTATGGAGCTGCCAGCCAAGTGCTCTGGAAACGCTTAAAAAAAAAAAATCTTGAATGTTAGGAATTGCAAGGAGAGAATAGAGAACAAAGCAGAGACATGGCTATGGCTCTGTGTAGGCTCTCGGTATGGCCATGGCTTGAATAATTGTGCAATTCTGAGTCCCTGATTGCAAAAGGAATATAGAGGAACTAGAAAAAGCACAGGAGGCATCAATGATTAAAGGTATGAATTAGCCCATGCATTACATATAAGAGGACTGCTCAGCTGGGAAAATCAATGACCAAGAGACGTATACGATAGTAAGATGGGATCACGAGTGGCAAGATGATAGGTAATATGAATGTTTGCTGTCTCTCATAACACTGAAGAACAGGCCATTAAAAGAAATGATCAGGCAGTAGGTCAAAAGCAAGGAGAAGTCCATTTTAAAACACTTAGCTGTGTATTTTCAGTACTGTATGGAAGAGAAAAACGTGCATGGATTCAGAAATTCAGATAAATTCAGATCCAGTGAGTTGTGCTGTGAATGCAAGCACAGACCCATCTCGGGCTGAGGGGGTCCCTGAGCTGCCAGCCTGCAGGAGCGCACCTCACTTTTTCCTCTCACCGCCCACTGTGGCCTTTTACCCTGGCCGTGTGCATCGCCTGTGTGGGCTTCTGCTCTGGCATGGGGTGGCTTCTTGCGCAGCCTCGGACAATACGCAACGCAAATCTAGCGTGCAACAAAACTTCCTCTACCACCTCTAAAGGTGCAGCTGTTCTGACCCCAGGCAGGCTCTAGCAGAACCTTCTGAAGAACGCTTTTCTTGCCTATGGCCCTCCTTTGAACGCTTTTTGGTTAGTAAAGGTTACTATATTAGTTATTACTTCAGCATATGCCATCAGTGCTATTAAAAATGATTAATTTTACAATACCTTGGTTCCAATAAAAGAAATGCCAAGAGCATGTAATTAGCATTACAGGGGTGAGGGGGAAAACAAAAAAAAAAAAGGTTAAAGATGAATCTTTGGTTTTGTTTGTGCCGAGTAGGTACTTGGTGGGCTTAACTCCTAACCAAAATGGCATCTTCACATTACACTCCAGTGTTCGTGTCATTTGAAAACTCTCTGACTCTACATAAACCAAACCGTTCCTCTTCAGGCCCTGGGAAAACTCGAGACTTTTCCCAACTGCACAGTAAATCAAGGAATTTGCCTACGTAAGATTTATCAAAAGGGTTTAAGCTACCAAAATGAGTTGGTTTGTACTGACAGGAATGAAAGACTTTTAAAATTTAAAATTTAAAAAATTAAAAATTAAAAGAATTTAAAGGCTTACACAGCAAGGAATCAGTAACAGGCAAAACTGAGCAGAACTGAAACCCCCTCTCGTGCCTGTTGTCTCTCTTCCCTGACATCTGCCCATTTTGCTAGTTGTTGTCTTTTTGACGCTTTAAAAGATGCAAAATAACAGCAGTCCTGGGCCTTAAGCGGGTCAGAAGACTCGATCTTACTGGGTGGCTGACAGTGCCAACAGTGTGTTACTGAGTTTAAGTGACTGGGTTACTCCTCGGGGTCTCCACAGGAAAAACGAATTTTTAGGGAGAGAATTTTGAGGTGTTTGTTGGTTCCTCCACTTCAGTGAACTGCATGCTAATCTATGCCTGGGCATCCTTCTCTTTATTTTTCTCATTTTCTTGACGTCTCTCCTGTCCTTGTCTTTTCCACTGATGAGGTTTAATTTTCTTCCTTGAAAAAAAGGGCACACCTGAAATGTGGTGATGCTGGAGCATTTGCGGTTTGCCCCATTCCCTTTGTATATGCAGACTTTGCCTCTCTTTTCTCTGCATTAAATTTCACAGTAAAGCATATTAAGAAAAGAGAGCATACAGACATATATACCCTCATGCATTGCAGATACCTTTTTGCTCTCTACAGGTGACTTGGAACGAAAAGGAAATGTTAGCTATGATGGGCACCTAGGGCATTCTCTGGGAAAGCAGTCGATTCTGCGTGTCTGGTAGCATGCGTTTGGTTTAAGTTTTCAAGGTTTTTTTCTGTGGCATTAGTTCACCTAAAGCACATGCAGAAAAATCTTCTTTCGTAGTCCTTTCAACAGGAACACCCAAATCAGCAAAGCACTTGGGCACCTGGCTTTCCACTGAAGGGACTGGTTCATAATCGGCGTTTACTTCAGTGTGAAGTTAGGTGCTGGATGTAAGTTAGGAGCATAAATACTTTATATTCGGACTATAGAAAGCTCTTGCTCTTGGTTGTTTTCAAAGCCTACTTTTTGCTACATTGAATTCATTCTTCATGACTTTTTATTTTCAAATTAGCCCAAGAACTAATTTGGCAATTTCTGTCCCAGGAAATGAAGAGACGACGTATAGCCAAACCATTTTCAATGGAAAAGTTGCTTTATCAGATAGCAACAGCAGAAGCAAAAAAGGAAAACGGACCGACTCTGAGTACGATATCATCACTTCTTGGAGAGCTCAGGTAACGAATTGGGGCCTGTTGTACCTATTTTGTTTTCATTGACAGACTCCAGAGGTGGATGACGTAAGTAACCGTTTCAGACGCATGTCTTTCACCTGCTTAACCAAGCAAAAGCCCAGCAAACGTACTTGAAGACAGCCACACGTGGAAGAAGCAGTTTCCTTGGCTGTATCTGATGTGAGAGTGCCCATGGTTAGGATGTCTTACTCCAAGAATTCCCTACTTTGGGCACTATCAAAGAATTAAAACTACAGTTTGCCTTGGGTTTTTATTTTCCTGATTTTTGGTGCTGAGAGTCAAGATTTCCTGGTGCGTTAGGCGAGCTGCATGGTGCCAAGTGGCTAAATACCTGTCTTCAGCTTGTCAGCCTCTTGGCATCAGTAGCCACTGTCAATCCATGCCTGTAATGGGTTTTGCACCAGGAACCCTTGTCTGCAGCATCAGGATGGCCACACTACAGTTGTAGAAGGTACTTTGTATACAGAAAGTTGTCTTGATTTAAACCACTGAGTAAATGAGCAGCTTATGCATGGGTGCTGACGCATCTTGCATTAGAACTTGAACATTTTAAAGAAAAAAAACTTCACACTTCTTTTTCTCTCCAGTATTAAGGAAACATGTCTAGGGTTTCTCTTAAGATAGGTAAAAAAAGAAAATATAATGTTGCCTGGCTTCCTGTGTAATGATCTTCTCTTTTGTTCCCTACCATGTAGTTGCTACCTATCTTTCAAGTTTGTGACAACTGGTACTCGAGATGTCAAGAAAGTTTTGATGAATGGAATCTACAAACTGTATTTAACTAACTAGCATGTTCATTTGGAAAATTTCCAGTGACATATTGAAGGGGAAAACAGCCCGTGTGTTGTTTTAGTGTTCAGAAAGAAATACAAAGAGGTGTGCTGACTGCTTTACCTGCAGCTGGTTCCCCTGTGGGAATAACCACTTCCAAGTGCATTTTTTTTTTTTTTTTCCTTGAAGAGGAAAAGTCCGCAAGTGCGAAAGGTGAAACAGAAATGTTGGTGCTGGCTGTTAGACCATCACTTCGACCTCTATCAGAGTGGTTCTCAAACTTGTTCTTATGCTTAGGTTGGAATTCTCTGGAGGATATCGGTCCTTCCTGTGGCTGCTTATGTAAAACAAAATTCCAAACAACAAAACCTGAAAAAACCCCCACAACCAAAGTGGAACACTGTACCATTTTTTTTTCTCCTTTGTTTTGTTTTGCTTGTTTTGTTCTGTCTTTTGCTGCCTCCTCTCCTGATCTGCCTTGGTTGCTCAGTTTGCCCATGCCATTTGCTTAGCTTGGCTTTCCACCCATCTTCAGCTGTGTCTGGGGGGGGGGTTTTTTAC